CAATTTACTTTTTGTCACTTCTAAAAATAGAATCAATTTATAGACCAATTTGTTCAAGATAATGAATAAGGGAATCGAACATGATCATTTTAGGTGAATTTAATGTGATCACTTGAAATGATCGTTCGTGATTAAACATTTTTTTGATATATTAAATTTATCTTTTTGCAATTTTGTTGATTTTGATTAAGGTTTGTTAAATGATATAGAATATAATTTAGTTATCCGTGAAATGAAGAAATAGTTGTATGGAACGTGTTCCATTTATTATGTTTTTACGTGGAGTTCTACGACAAGTGTGTACTTGTAATGCCATACCTTTCCATATCTCATGAATTCCATCCAAGAAGATGAACTTCACAAGTCCTAATTTGTTAGTGAGTACCAGGTTTGTATATTCAATTGCTTTCTTACAATAATCTAAGCTGATCGGATATCAGACAGCATTTGTTTTTGGAGGATTTTGGAGGATGCGCATATAGATTATAACAAAAATCTGTGACTTTTAGGAATGGGAAAGAAATACTCATATTTAATGATTAGCACCTTGACCATCTGGAATATTAGTGTTTTGCTTGCGGAAGAAATAGACATAATCTGTTATTTCCTGACCTTTTCATCATCTGTTTGAAATCCGCGAGGTCACAGTGCAGACCAATGTTTTTATCTTTATTTTCTTTAGGTCTGCGTCTAGTATAAATGTCCATGTCTTTAATATAGTGTTCTCATTATCTCATTATGTTCTCATTATTAAATATGGCTTTCAAATTTATTGCATTCTTATCCTTTTGACAGTATAGGTAGGCATTTTGTTCATCCTACAAAAAGCTTGTCGCTTTTGTATATTTCGATATTCTTTTTATACTCTTCATTTGTCCAAGAATTCACAAACACAATTTTTATGATATTCACCTTCTCTGCTTTCATTTTTCCTTCCTAAATCCATAGGAATTATGATCATAGGCAAAGATCATTACTTAAATTACAGTTATCGTTTTTACACTCTGTTCAATCTGTAACTTGAACAAGTATTAATTAGGTATTGATTCATCTCTCCTACATCTCTTTTATACTCTGATTCAGGATAACAGAATGTTTCATCTGATCCTGCGCATATGAATGATGCAAAGTCCAACCAAAACTTTTAAGTTTCATCAAATGTTTTGATAAAAAAAAAAAGAAAACTTATTTGGTGAAGTTGGTAGCATCGTTTTCAGAGTGTAAGAGAGATATTATTGGAAGAGATGGGAAATCAAAATAATTTAATATGCATATGTTATTTTTTGAAGCTTGATATTCATGCGATTATATACTTCCTCTGATGTCTTCACGATGCATGTATTTATCCGGTCAATACATATGATAGCTGTGATAAAATGCAACAAATGATTTTTTTTTTTCAATTTGAGAAAGAAAATAACGAGGACAGAACGGTGGATTACTGGAGTGCAGGCACGGTGGCGGGAAGTAAGGAGCACTTGGGTACCGTCAAAAAGGCGAGCCCATCAAGAAAACAGGGCTGCTGCAGTAATACGCAGTTAGCAGCAGCGGCAGTTGCAACCGTGATATCACCGTTATCGTCATCTATCATAACCGCAAGATATGTCGTCATTGAGCAGCGGTCACAGCAGTACATCAAGCATGAGCAGTACCAGTACAGACCTCAGTTCTTGCAACATTGTATGTTTTTTTTTCCCCCCTTCATTTCTATTTTTGTTTAGACATAAAGCCTCCTGGTAATGACCTAGACAAATCCATAACAGTTGATGAAGTTCGAAAAATGAAAGTTAAATGTAATATGACATAAATTTCAATTACAAATTTTATTTCGATTTGTTTTGCTCAAGCGGGTATAAACATTAGCTATTATAAAATTATTCTGCTTTAATGGTTTTCTTGTGCAGTTAGCATGTGCTGCTGAATGTGTTGATAGGTATTTAAAGATTGCTATTTTTGCATGTTATGTTTTTAAAAGAAAAAGAGATCAGTACAAAATGCCGTTCCAAAATGCAAGATCCATGTAAATTATTGAACTAAAACATAAATTGGAAATAAGCAACGTATATATGTGCAAATGCATGTGGTGTGGTTCATAGATAATAGTGGGACTATATTTTACATGCATCCGTGGTTATTTTTTGAATCAATTTTATATTGATATTTGTTTTTATAGCGCACGTAAGATTTTGCTAAGGTGCTTTTTTGACACTGCTTGATTTTAGCTATTTCACAATAGTGAAATTACTATTATGACAGTCATCGTATTGTTGATTACTTGACTTGTAAATGATATTGACTCTCATTTACAAATGATTACATATTTGGTTACATATTTGACTCAGTATTTTTTTTCACGATAGTTGATTACGAATAGTGATCATCCTAAAAATTGTTCTGAACAAATATGAATGTATGAGAGTATATATTTAATGTTCGACATAGTGCAAGTCAATTAGTACATTTGGCACAGATAAGTCTTCATTAGTTATATAGCATCCGCAATACAATAAACTTTGCATTAGCTGCACATAATTCATTTTTACTCATTACCTTGATATTTGATTTTATGAGGAACGTGGCTAACTGTGAAAACTCAAAATCCATGTATTTTATTACAAAAATTTAATGAGCTTGCATGATATTGTTCATAAATTCCTGACGTTATCAGCTACGCAAAACTTTTTGCCATCCTACTTAACTGTTGCTTTTGAAATAACAAATATTTTCAACATGTAACTTTTATATAGCTTTTGCATTACAAAACAAATTTTCTGCGTCATATAGTTATGCCGTATTTTTTACAGCATGTTCCGCTGTTGCAAGAGTCAATTTTTCTTTTTATTACGTCAAATTTTTGCTTGTAAACATTTATCGTTGAACAAACTTATTGATCTAGTCTTGATTTATTATCCATTCCTCTAGCTCTCAGAAATAAAATTTAACAGAAATATGGTATGCTACAAATGCGCATATGTGAATTAATCGTATTAGTTTAAATTATTGCTACTAGTGTTTGTAGCTATTGCTGCTCTCTAATTCTATCCATTAAAGAGATTTATGATATCCTTTAAATGAAGTAAAAGATCATTCAGGTGTTTCATTTCATTTCCACTAAGAAAATTCCTCCAAATTTAGAAAAATTATTTTTAAAGAAGAATTGAAAAATTATCATACTAACAGTAACCCTATGCAGTCAACATCAAATTTTTCATTTCATTAAAATTTTTTCTCGCTTTTTCTGATAATCCATACGTAATTTCAAAGTGTGATGAAAAGAAAGTAGTCTAAATTTAACATCACCAAACAAATTTGATATTTTTGTATTTCTGGCCCTAACGCGTAGCTCACAAAGGCAGTAAAAGCAAATTTGAAAAAGCGCCACCGACAGCACTATCACATAACGCGCCGATTGCACCAGCACCCAGTGTTACGCTCTGTTGTTACTGTCACTACTACTACTACTTCTACTACTACTACTACTACTACTACTACTACTACTACT